TAGGATTAAGAAGACCAGATCACAAAAGTTCCATCTTAGTACATGAAATTCTGCATGAAATTCTAAATAAAATTCTTTGCATTGCAATAATTCACAAGACCACATCTCATTGTGTGCACATCCTCAATGCACTCATCCATACTTGCTCTGGGAAGTCTATCCCTTTCTCCCAAATGAAAGGTTATTTATGAGTATAAAGATGCAATAATTTGGAAATGATTTTGTTAATGAAATAATAATGAACTCAATTAAGAAACATATCAATTTACAGTAAAAGTCATCAAGAAAACACTAAAACAAGCCAACCAAACATGTTATTGATCTTTGTCTTTGAGCTCTCTGATTGAATGAGTCAAATATAACCATTCTTTCACATCGATGTGGGCTCCCTTTAAGACCCCTGAAGGTATACTGTATATGAGCAATGTACAGTAGGGGATGTAAAGAAAGATGATGAAAAATACAGTGTTTTAAGACTATGTGTCTAGCCAACTGTGACTGATCCTTTAAGACCATTGAACACAACTTTTAATTACTATAGAGTTGGTATTAAAATTGTTTTGGGTATTCTTGCTTTGCAAATCTCATTTTTCTGCATTCTGTCTTCTCACTGCAGCCTGGATGAGGGAATTGAGGTAGCATTTCTGGGCACTAGAGCTGGATTAATGCGTACTGGCCAGTTTGTGGGCTCTGAAAAGAGGCTGAACAAGTAAGTGACTAGTAATGCTTTCACTATTCAACCTTACTTTCAAACCCCAAATCCTTACAAGTGTAATTTATTTTGAGCAGTGTAATGTTTGTTTCTTTGCTTGCTTAGCTCTGTTTAATTTACAGTATACTACTTGTTAAATCTACAGTATATTCAAATAAGTGATGATTCTGTGAAGATTGTTTAGCACAATTTACTAGAAAAGACTGCTGTTTTATAAGTTTAATGGGACAAAAGACTACTTTGAAGATCTAAAAGCAATATATGGGGCTGTATGTCATCATAGCTTCTACTGAGAAATCTTAGAAAATTGGTTAAAACAAATACATACAGTATAACTGATTCTGCAATTAAGGCATGATAGCCTATTTTATTAGAAAGTAGTTTGAAAATGGGGACAAAACTTGTCTTAACCTTTAATTGTTGAGATACATTATGAGAGCCCAATATTTTTTAGATTGAGGGGAACACAAAATTCTTAATTTTGATTGGCAACAAAGTGTAGGATAAAATGCATCACCTCATTCAACACATGAGTTATCAAATTCCATTTCCATCTCTATATGTTAATGTCAAGAAGAAAAGTTACACTGGGGAGAGAACAGTTTAATATTTATGTATTTTGTGAAATTCCTTGTTTCATGTTCTTGCTGTAAAACATATATTCTGTTGTTCAGACAAACACTAATTAATGTGGAGAAGGCAGGATTATAAACCTTAATGACATCTGGCTGAGGAGATTACCACCTTTTCATAAGGACAAGGTCATAATCTCTAACAAAGGGGTAAAGAGCCCATAAAACTGATGCAGAATTCTTAAAAAACGAAAAATAAAATAATGCAGTAAGTAGGTTGAATGTTATAAGGGGTTATGAGCACTTTATTGAAGGTGTCAGGAACCAGGGTCAAATAACTCTTGATTTTGTTGATCAGTAGTGTGGATGACAGTGTGGCTGTTGGTCTGAGATGAGTGTAGTAGCAATGGAAGGAAAAAGGAAGTTTGAAAGAACTTATTGCAGACTAATTTGAGGTAACTAATGTGTGAAAGTTATACGGCACAATGCTCTGGAGAATCTGTGACACAGTGTAAAGGGGAAGAGATACTAGAGTCTTTTTCCAATGAAGGGGCAAACTGACATCCACTCTGAAGCAGAGGGCTTATAATTTCTGATAGAACAAGTACACAAACTGGTTTGGGCAGAAAGCTCAGAGCATTGTGCTACGGATCTGTTAGCATGCTGAATTCAGTTGTGGTAGCAATATGGTAACAACATCCTGTCACAACAATATCATTTTTGTATTTAATGATATTGTTTGTCACTAGCATGCACAAGGTATGATTAGCGCAGGAAAGCACTAACGCATTAATAAACATTTAATACTGTAGTTATTTCTCTGACAACCACATGCAGTTGTGGTACTTTAAGGAATCATTGCACCACTTGTCAGCTTTACAGAGTAGTGCTGTCCTACATCAGGCTATTTGAAAATATAAAAAAGCCATGATGCATAGCTGTTTGTGATACCACGGTACCTACAGGGGTATAAGGACTGACAACTCACAGATTCTAAATGACTATATCTGTTCATATTAAAAATCTTTGACAGTTCATACAGAGATTTAAGGCTCCTTTTGTAAAATGTGTCTTACTGTACATATATATATATATGATAGTGAATGTTGACAGATTTGTGCTCCTTGTGGAACCCTAAAAAGAACGTTAATTATCTTTGGACATGGTTCACAAAATGGTCTAGAGCAATTTGAGAAGATTCATGAGATCAGGCAGCCATGAAAGGCTAAGTACAGTGTTTTCACTGGTGTTAATTCGGAAGTCTGTACAGAAGATAAAAGGCAATCATTATACTGTAGTAAAGTTCTCCATTGTTCCCGGAGAAGGAGACATAGTCTTTGTTATGGAAAACCAAGGCTGAGAAGATAAGACATTATAGTCCCCCCTCCTTAAGGGTGCTCCAGCCCTTTCACTTTAGACTTTATTCTGTGTACCTGATTCCTATTCCCAGCCCACCTGACGCTCATCTGGGCTCTGCATCTGATTTCCGTATCGTGCGAGTCCGGGACCTGGAAGCGCCTGGTCCCGTTAAGGTTTTAATCTCTGTTCCTGTTCCTGTTCCTGTTCCCGTTCCCTGTCCGCCGGTTCCGACCCGGTTTCTGGTTTTAATTCCTTGTTTGATGGATCTCCTGGTTTTGGACTTACCCTTGTGTTTTGGATA